CTAGCGATGGCCTCCTCCAACCTACTAGCGATGGCTTCCAACCTACTAGCGATGGCCTCCAAACCTAATGCCGATGGGCTACAACCTAGGAGCGATGGCCTCTAACCTAGGAGCGATGGCCACGAGGCACCTGAAACATTGCCATTGGCACCGCAGCTGTCCAGCAATGCCAACGATGAAACCTGGACAACCACAGCTGTGCAACTTGTTGGGGCGATAGAGCTTGAAAACACCAACGAGTTAGTTACAGTCGACACGGTATCTTTACGGTTACCTTTTTTAAAAACATCTTTTTTCAATACTTCTTCCCTCCAATGAAAAACCTCCAACTTTGCGTTATCTTTTGTCCTTCACCCTTTCTTCTCCTATCTTCTCCTCCTCAAACACTGGACTTTTTTGATAAAAAACCACAGAACACGGTCTTTGTACATGCGCTTGACTTCGCTTCGCACCTCCTCCTGCGCTTCGCCTGCAGCTGCATCACCTTCACCCAGCCAAGCATCGCTCAGCGACATGGCAGCCTGAAAGCAACGAGGTTTTCTCGAAAAAGAACAGCACTTCACATCACTTTGATGGTACCAGATGGTACCAGTACTTGCAGACTGCCCCCAAGGAGGTCTGGGGGACTATCAACATCTTAGAGTTTGGGGGTTGATATTAAATTCTAGGCTTTGGGGTGTCTCTGCGTTGCATGCAAATTTGTGCTGCTATTCACATGAAACTTGGCATAACCCCTATAATTAACTCTCTGTCCCCAAATCCCAGCATTCAGAAGCCAAAGTTTCTATGTGCCTAAAAGAGTGTGTGTACCGATTTGCAGTGATCTTGTCACAACCTAATAAAATATCTATCATTCGATCGCCAAATGCCCTCAAAGCCTTCAAGAAACAACATAATGATGCACAAATTTCACAGTATTTACACTCTTGGTTTTCTGTCCTTTCAAAAGTGAGCTAAGGAAACGTGGCAGAATTATTGAGCCGATAGCCACTAACCTGTGAAGTCTAAGCCTAAGCTGTGCCTGTTGTTGAGTGGGTTGTGCTGTGAGTCCGCAGCTCGTCAGCCGCTGCCCTTGGCGATGTAGCACCAGGGCACATCGGCCACGGCAAGAAACTGCAAGATCTTGCAGCGCCTCGCCATATCCACCCCGCACCAAAGAATCAACATATCCCATCTAAAAAGCACAATAACATTCTTGTTGCCTAAGCTTGGAGGTTATGCATCTCATACTTGGACCCAAGAGCATTGAGCGGCTGAATTTCCTAAACACAGAAAAGTGTTTCTATGCTTTATTGTGAACATTTTTTGAAGCTTTCGTTTTCTCACCAAAAGCTTGGAACATGTAGCGCATTGCACGCAGCCTCACCCTCCAGAGCGTCACAAGCAGGCGCATAATTAAAAGCAGCAGAGAGGAAGGATGTGCGATTCGTACCGCTCTTCCTGCGAACGAATGCTGTGATACAATGTTCAGAAGTAATACTGTACTCAGTACGCCTTTAGCCTCACTGTGTGGCGAAAAGAAACTATGTAAGTAGAGAAACAAAGGAACATGTTGGTTCCGAATAGTGCGAGCGTGAGCTATCCTGCGTCCATATGTAGTAGTGTCCTAGGAGCGGGGGGGAAGCGCGCTTTTGAAAACATATGTAATTAACAACCTTTTTTTTTGACGCTACTAGGAGCAAGAACGCTACTAGGAACAAAGGGCATCGCTACTAGGAGCCCATTGCTATTAGGTTCCATTATAGTGCAGAGTCTGAAGAACTGCGCAACCCCTCCGGTCCTTTGCTGCAACTCTGCCTGGAAAAGGCCGAAGCGGCTTGCAGCTGCCAGCATGACATTGGCACCATCTGTTGCACACGCAAGGCGACGTGGGAAGGCACCAGAAGGCCAAGTGGTTTCGATCTTCTCCTCAGAAATGGACAAACTCTTGGGAAAACGAAGTATAACAAAAATCTATGCTCTTTTTCTACACGTTTCTCCGCTTCTCAACTTCCGCTTGAAATGAGTGCGCTTGGTTAGCTCACAACCATGGAGTGAGCCGGACAGTTTTGTAGCGCTGGGTCTAAACTTGGTTGGGTCATATAGTCATATAAGACTACGCTAACACCACACACCCTGATCTATTCAATACTGAGACATATCGCAGCGGACAACACTTGCTTAGTCAACTGTCTGACACGCATGATATGCACGAGCTATGCAAATGCATTCACATTTGGCTCGGTCACCATCACTCTAGCAGCTCATCAGACACCCATGCCAACAGGTACAGTGTAAGTAGCTGGCTCAAATTTCTTCTTTGCCAGGAGACGAATTCTCTCAGACTCACAAGGTTATTTGCCAAAGCAAAGCGACCCCAGATCTGCCGTTGTGCAAAAACTCTTCTACATTGAAAACAAATGCGCGATGACCATGGGAATGACGGATGCCTTATGTTTCTATGATAATGATGATGTTTCTGTCTGTTCTGTCTACTTGTTACAAGAAACTCCCAGGAGCGGCTGAGACGTGGAGGTGCGGCTTTCCTCAAGTTCAAGCCTGAGGCAACGACACGCTTCGACTGACTCCTGTAAAATGTGACAAAACCCTGATCATCTGCTACTGCAGGCTGTTTCAGCATCACTCCGTGATGCCGACATGCACTGTCATGGTTCCAAACAACTAGTGGCAGGCTTTCCGCCTATAGTCTGGCTCCCTCTCATTATCAAAGAGATTGATAAGAAAGACTGGTCAAATCATTAGAATTGATGCTAGAACTTGGGGTAGAAGGTCAAGCAGTTGAAGTGAAAGAGATCTGCTCAGGCTTTCTTGACATTGAAACTCGGTTGCAAGTCTGAACAAAGTGTCACCTGTCAATGTGTGTTGCCAATCATCTTAATACATGAGGTATCTCATGATCTTGCTCAAACTTTGAGATATCTTCTTCAACTTTGCCCGATGGGAAGGAAACAAGAACAAATCAGAACGAAGGTCAATCATGCTTGACCAGGCCACAGGAAAGCTGCGCCCTGCTCAATCGGCTGAGGTCCCTCTTCACTATCACGGATCAGTGGGGCTACCCGCAGTGCTTTCCAGCCGGAAGCCTTGCAGAGGCGACACCATCAGTTTGGAACACGCTTCTTGCCATGTCGGATTCATGGATTTGTTGAGGTTTAGACGGTTTAAATGAGACACACATTGTCGGCTGCGCCTTGAAACAAAACTACCCCTTCAGACTTGTGCCACTGCGAGCACAACAACCAATCAGCTACTCCAATCTGGGACACCACCTGCAAAACTGGAGACAGACTTGTTTAACTATGAACTCTCAATGTAACATGGTGCGAGGCCGCCAGCAACTCAATTGCACCTTGTTCAAGAGACCATTGTTTGTTTAAGAAAACCAACCCTGCTCATGATCTTGACTTTGTGATTACGTCTTTTGCCAAACATTGTAGTCAGTCTGCACAAATGTATATTAATATCTATCTGGTATCATCGTAAGGCGGCAAATGTGTCCTGCACAAGCAATGAAAAACTGTGGTCAAGTTTAATTAATCTGCCTGCAAAAGAATCAGCACGCCGCTGATCCACCAAAGGATCACCAACCTTGGGTGCAAGCCGGCGGTCTGGAAAACTGGTATCATGTTCTGGGTTGAAAACACGTCAAAACTGAAAGAACAAACATTGCTCCCAAACTGAAGCTGTCTCGATCCCTCCCCATAGTGGCATGCATTCAAAAGAGTTGACCAGAAAAAAGCACGGTCACGCATAAATGAAAAAGCAGAAAGCTTCAGGCATAGTGAATCCAAACGAATCCACCAGGGTTTTGAAGATTCAGTGTGGACGTGTCTGAAGCAAACGTGCTCCTGTCTTTTGTGTTCCTTCTTATTCATGATATTGCGTTATACAAAATCTTCAATGCAAGTCCTTCAAGACCGGAGCCTCTGGAGCAACTCTGCCATGGAGCAATGACGTGGCACTGCAGAAAATGCGCCACGGCACAAGGCCAGGCTTCAAGTAGGGGTGGATGTCCTGAAGACTTTTGAAGCGCTGAACCGGCAGTGCCATAAGTAGTCGTGATGCACTCGACTCTATCTACTGACCTTCATGCAAAAGGATTGCCAAAGGTGTGCAGTGGTCTAAAGTTTGAACATTGACGGCATTGTTCAAAAGAAGCAAAGGTTGACCCATTTCTACAAGGAACTCGAACAATCTGCGTAAACCAAGCAAACCAAAGAGACCTTACCGCTCTTCTCAGAAGAGTCTATTTGGAGTATATTTCTCAGAGGTCTCCAATAAGCAAAGCAGTAGGGGGGTTCGGGGCACTTAGCACTTCATGATTTTGCGTCTCCGTCCTCAGTCTGATTCGCCTGCTGCCCATCCTCAGGGTTGTCTCGAATCAGGAAGCTGTTTGTGCTTGACTTCAATGGCTTCAAAGTCTGCTTTAGTTTTGGCACAAACATCGTGCAAGAAAATTTATACGCTAGTGCACGCGTGCATAAGACCCTTTATTGCGCTTAACTACGCTCTTACTCAAAGGACCCTTTTGACTATCATTTTTCGCCTCTTACTCCTCCTCGCCCTTCGTCATCCCTCACTCGTTTCCTCCTGCCTTCTCTCGAGGCACAAAGGTGGTGGGATCAAACATCTCCTTCGAAGCTAAACTCTCTGGAGCAGGCTTGGCAGCACCTGAGCAGGAGGAATCAGGAGGAACGAAAAAAAGACACAAGAGGAAAATCAAAGAATCACAAATCAGGTGTGTATATTATGTATACTGTATACCGTATACATGTTGCGGTAGTGATGAGTGGAGGTACATCTTCACTCAGCAAAATCTTTTGCACAAGAGAATTGAATCCAGTAAGTGCGCCTGGAAGTCGTTCTGGGCGTGTGGCCTTTGGGCCCTTTAGTATGTACCCATCGTAGCTCACAGATTCCATGGCTGGACCTTTGCCTGCCACAGCCTCAACTTCCTCCTCAGCTGAAGGAGCGTCAGCGACAACCAGGACTAGAGTGACTAGAACAAGGACAATCACCACCACCATGGCAACGACAACAACAACACCAACGGTACAGCTAACAATACGTAAACCAAGCAAAAACCACGGTAATTTCAGGTGATGACAAAAACACTGAATTATCCGATTCATGTATTCATGTTTGCTGCAGGGGAAAAGAGCAAACAGGAACTTTTGGCTATGCATAGCTAAGCATCTGCTTGGGCCGCCTCTTCCGGTATCGGACTGACTGGTGTCGGTGCTGGAACGAAAATCGGCGACTCGCTGGCCTGGCCCATGACAAAGAGAAGCCTATCTTATTTGTTCAAAATAAGTATCACATAAAGCAGTTAAGGGCCCCTTGAACAAGGTCCCTTTAAAAGGGGCCCTTTGCTAGTTCTATTTCTTCGGTGACTTTCAAGTGTCTTCTGCCAAATTGCTCCATGTCATTTTGCCGCTTGTGATTTAATGAAGGCTAAATGGAGGGTGTGCGGAGAAAGGGGGTCAGCAAAAATCACTTATACGAAGTTAGTGCATCAAAAATACCTTCCACGAAGTTCTGCGAAGGTTTCTGGGATTTCGTTGCAGTCAGTTCTCCTACTGGCCCACCAGTCCACGAACTGTCCACGAATAGCCTTGGGTTCTACGAATGTCCCGTGCCTTCCACGATGTTAGTAGAATAGGTTTTTGCAAAACCCTTTCTGTGCACTACCCTTCCGTTTGCCTCTGATTTTACATGACTAAACGCTGGTGGCGACCTTTTTGTGATCCAGCCCCCAGGCACTGATCTAACCACCCAACAATATCACAGCGCAAGCGATGTGACATTATATAAATAAAAACATATCTATACAGTTATATATACATTATATCTTGTCCATGATCTTGCCATCACCTTGCTTGAATGAAGCTGGATGTTTGGCTTTGAAACTGCACAATTCTAGTGATCCAGCCTTGGCTTGTTGGGCGCGCTTGATCCAGCCAAAGACATCAATGTACCTAAAACCGCTCTGGATGTTCAGCACCACTCTTCTCAAATTTTACCGCGCCAACATACCGGGAGTTCGACAATGATGTTTTTTTTTGATTCAAGGCTACAGAAACAAGCATCACACAAATTACAACTCTGACTCTGCGCATGTCTATACATGTACGGCAAAGCACATCACCGAGCGGAAGCCAGTTGGGAGCATGGCACCACCCTCCTGCTCGCCCACCTGTCTGATGAGTCCGAAACTCTTTGAATCAAATATGCTTTACAGAATTGATCACGTCTTGTACACCAATCAAGGCAAACCACATTCTCTCACATAGCTGATGCAAAGTTTCACATTGCGTTAACGCATCAACTGTGATAGAGTGAAAGTGCATGACATGAGATTGCTCTTAAGCTATCCTGTTCGGTGCTGAAGTGAATGGAAAGTGTCTTTCATGTGTTTTTGAATGCTTGGCAGCTCCAGCAGAGTCTCAGCTTTAAAGGCATCGCACGCCTTGCTGATGTACAGCAGCAACATGAGCCAGGCTGCTTCAGCAGCATATGGCAAAGGGGCAAGCAGGTGCACCAGCTCATAGCCTTTAACCTGATAGGACAATCATAGGATTTCATCAATTGCATGCACTCCAAATTTGCATGCCTCCTGTTGAACTGACTTGCTCTCAAGTCACCATCATTTCAAAAAACGGTAAACGGTTGACTTATCGGGTGGACCGGCAAAGGCAACTCATGTTGCAATGGTGGCAAAATACATTCCAGCTCGATTCTGCCTCGCTGAATAGTTTTTGCCGGCAAGCAATATGACAGAACATAATATACCAAATTACAAACACAACTGACATGACAGAAACCGGGTAATTAGTACGAGGAAGGCAAAATCACAAGACTCTTGCTCAGGACCGTACGGTGTGGAGGCGCCACTGCTGCGCTGCTAAAGCAGCAAGAGCCGGGCCAGCAGAAACAAGGACCACTGCAGTCTTAAACTCCAAACCTGTCAAGGACATGTCCAGTCGGATAAGCCTGAGCTGGAGTGAAGCGACTGTCAACTTCTGCACGCTTCTTGGAACTTGTTGTCTTTGGTTCTTGGTTGGAAGTGGGCAAAACGCCTTTCATCGGTTTCATCTCTGAAAGTATATAATTAGACTACGCTGATTGAACTGAACACCGTGACGCTTGCCTTGATTACAAGGAGTGGCATGTGGATATACTCATGTGGATATACTTTGTTACTGACCAACAGATTATGGACAAGACACGCTGTAGCAATCACCATGAAGAGCAGCACTACCAACCAGCAAGCCATGATTGCCTGCAATCTGGGCAGGCCATCACATCTGGAGAAAGCATTTGGAGAAAGGGTGCCCAGTAATGCCTTGCAAGAAAATTTGACAAACCTGCACGGAGTGGCATTCAGCTATTCATCCATTACACAGATCACTGTGATCACTGCGGCTGAAACTTCAGGTCACCCTTCTGCAGTGGCTGTGCTGTGAAGAACCTTTGAAGCAGCTCGGCCTTGTTAGAGATCAGCACATACCCGATGACATAGTATGACCTTGCTGTGTGGAGTCATTGAATCCATTTGGCCATGCGGTTAAGTTTGCAATTTGCATCAGCTTCTGAGCTGGCTCTACGTAGCCTAGTCCCTTCTTGCTTACCTTCGAGACAACAAGCCGCTTTACTTTCAAGATAATTATGCCTTGCGTTTTCGGCCCAGGTGCAAGCCCAGAATAAGCTGATTTGTGCCCATGCTCATGGCGACACGTGCAAAGCCATCGTAGGACCTCTGTAACACCACAAAGCAGCCTGGAAATACCATCAAAACCAACTTCCATGAGCGCCTCATAACTTTTAGAGAAAGGCATCTGACATCTATGCCTGAAACGCATGATCTGCAACATTGTCCAAATGATGTGGAATTGTTGAAACCTTCATCGAATTTTGTTGAGCCAAGAGGGTGTCTCAGTAGGTCAAGTTGCTGCCAGTACTTGATCACTTCCTTGATGAGATTCAAGTGCCGAAGCTCATCAGGCTGGGTGCCTCACTTGACATCAAGCAAATTGTGTCTCATTTGAACAATTGACCATTCCACGCAACAAATTTTCCTGGCAACACCCAGTTTAAGTTTGTATCCTCTATATATGCCCTCTAGAATCAACAAGAACAGGCTCTCCAAAGCTATACAGCACAGAAGCTTGAATTGTCTCCAAGAAACGGATGCTGCCATCCAGCTCATAAATGTCTTCCTTGGCTGTTGGGTCTAAATAGTTGGGCAGAACTGGAAAAACACGAAACAAGTTTGCCAAGACCTTCAAATGCTGAAAAAAGAGCTCAGCCCCAAAAAACCTGTTGTGGATAGAAGTAGAACATGCACTGTATAGTTCAACACAATTATTCATCAGTGCATGCCAAAGATTCACCACGACCCTCGAGACCCCAAAGGTCTGTCGATGGGAGGCTGGATGAGCCTCGAGTTGCACGTCATTGCTGAAGTTGCGACAATTGCGCAAGCATCAGAACTTGTTTGTCTACTGCAGCTGATGAACACCTCAGAGTACAGTTTGTTTCTGAGACCATTTCTGAGACCCAAGAACATAAGCATGCGACTCTTGATTTTGTAGCTTGTCTAAGCACTGCCAATGAGGGACGGTCAGAATTAAAGTACCCCGAGGACAAAAAGAGTCTCCCTGTGGATTTAGAGCCCCCCATGTCCCTCTTAAATGTATGTACCTTTAGTTTAAAAATCAGAACATCGAAGCCTGCAAAATCTTGCTTACTTTGAAGTTTGCAGCTTTGGTGAGCGCCTCGACTGGACTGGCGCTCACATGCACTCACAATTCGTTTTAACCTGATGCATATCAGTAACATGCTGCATTCTCCAGAAGTTTCACAGTTCCCTGACAACTCTCATTAATCTCGCGGTCTATCAGTGTATCACCCACGGTCAACGTTTTGATGGGGCTTTTCACCTGCCTGCAGCGCCTTCAGCGTCCTGTGATCCAGCGGATGGCAAAGCTGCTTGCTCGCCCAAAACCTGGAAATGGCGACTGTTTTTACGACAGAACAAGAAACGATTAAGAAACGTCTGGGACCTTAGAGAGCCACCTTGAAACAGCTTGCGTCTGTTGCCATGGTCTCCCAAAATTTCAGAAGGGACAAGGTTGGAGTGGTGCTACTGCGTAGAACTTGAGCACTTGCTGGCTGAGCAACTTGCTGCTGTGTTCCCATTACCTTGGATTCGTGCAACGGAGGTGGACACACGAGAAGGCTTGCAAACTTACACGTCTTGCAATATATCACTGGCAACAAAGAAAATCCGGCAACCTTTCCCACTCGTCCTCTGATGTGGCTGAAATGTGGAGTCAAGTGCGCAAAACAAAGTATTCAAATGGCAGGAGTGGCCCGCCTTTGTTGGCAGTCCCAGTCCCTCCTCATTCAACATTTCAGATTCAAACCCTATCTGCAGTGCACTAAACAAGCTTGTCTATCAAGCAATGGTCCCATCTCCAATTTCATGTCCACGCGCAATTCTTTTTGCCTCTAAGGACTGCACAAAATTACAGCCAGAACATGTTACTGAGTAACTTGCGAATATCCGTGTAGTATAGAGCAATACATATATATATAGTAGATACATATTGCTACGTGCTATAAAACATATGAATATCATTGAATATCCATGTAATATCCGCCGACCCCTGCCTAGCTGGGACACCGCCGGGTGGAAGTTGTTGCCTGTGGACTCCTGCGACCTGCGCAGCTTGCAGCAGCTACCTGCTTGTCTTGGACTCCTTTTTCTTGGGGTTCCAAAGGTAACATTAAACAGTGGCAGCGGTCGCCCCTGCCCCGTTGAAAGCTCCAGGACCAGGGTGTTTCCCGTAGTCCATGGGGCCTCAGGACCATGCCAACTGGCTTACGCTGAGAAGGCTGTTGCCTGTGGACTCCTGCAACCTATGCCGCCAGGCTAGGCTCACTCACTCGGCTCTGCCTGCTTCTTGGAGCTACCTGGGGCTTGTCCTGCACTCCTTTTCTATGGTGCTTCGGAACCGTTGGACAGTGGCAGCGGCCGCTCCCTACCCCGTTGAAGCCTCCAGGGTCAGGGTGCTTCTCCATGGGGTCTCAGGACCATGCAGGCTCACGCTGAGAAGGCTGTTGCCTGCACCTGCAACCTATGCGGCCAGGCTAGACTCACTCACTTCTGCCTGCTTCTTGCAGCTATCCGGTCGCTCCCTGCCCCGTTGAAAGCTCCACGGGCTCCGAAGGCAACGTTTGACAGTGGCAGCGGTCGCTCCCTGCCCCGTTGAAATCTCCAGGGCCAGGGGATGGTTGCTTGGCTGCCTTCTGAAGATATGATTCCTTCCAGCCAGCCGCATGCAACCCCCATCAACCACACCAACCACGCCCAACCCTGACTGCTCGGCAAGCCTAGAACAAAAAAATCGGCGGCACCCGGGCGCTAGCCCATTCTATAAACATACTATAAAACCATCTAGTACCGGGTCACAAATGGGACTCGAAACATCTGCTTCGTGTTGGTCTTCTCAAAGGTGGAACCATACGTTCTGGCACCTTCCTCAGTGTTTCCCAAAGGGCAAAGACTGAGACGCGCAAGTTGAGACTGTGACTTGGATCACTTAAGCGTCAAAATTCGCAGCATGTGGGACTCCAGAAACGCTGGAGTCCTATCAAAGAAACATGCTTCCCTTTCGAACATTGAAGGCCTCTCACCATCAGACAAGGAGCGAGCTGTGTCCAGGAGGGGACTGGCAATCGCACAAGCTGCGTCAGGAGACGAGTTTCATAGCTCTTGGCAGTGATCGAGGCATGCATTGAGAACCAAACCTCATAACCAAGACAAACGCAGGCATGATGGCACTGGATCTGGTAAATGGACTCCGGGTCCGCAACAAGTAGTTTTTGATAGTTTTTGAGTATCATGCTTCGTACAATATCTTTCTCCGCCGACTTTTTGCGCTCTTTTGCAACTGTTCAATTTCTATCCTCCTCACGCATACAACAATTATACAAGCCAAATACCACACAACAACCCTCGCAAAGACAATAATGCAACAAAGCCATCACCTTTGACTCACCAGTTTGCTCGAAGCAAGCAAACTAGACTACTCTAGATTAAATGCAACAAATCCATCCGCATCTGTCCATTTGCAAAATTAGTTTCTCCTAATACTTGATGGAAAGTAAAAGGCCTGCAGCCTGCGTAGCAGCTTCAGTCCAAGCTGCTGACATGAGGAGGTACATAAATGCTCCTGGCAGTTGAGTGAGTACTAAATACAATTAGTACAGTCCTTTCTCACAAACAGCGTGAAAAGGCAGTCGTTTTCGCATATCGAAGTATACACAATTCAAGTGAAGAAAATTTCAACGACTCGACCGTGGACCCCAGAGTTGCGCTGGGTACCATAATATAGACGCAAATGTTCTGGAAGTGCGTCCTAGCTTCCAATAAAGGGCTGAAATGTTGAGAAGCTCCAGAAACATTTAAAAGCTTCCCTTCAACTGCTGTGCACAAGTTCTTGATAAACATGTTGCATGCAAGTTGTTGAAGTGTGGTTTGCTGAATGGAAATGGGCAAACCAAGGACGGATTATGACGATGGGCCCTTGTCCGTTCTTCCCTTGGGTCAATTTATCAGTTCTGACTTACATCCTTTCACCTTTCATAGCCAGGTGTGGCATCGTCTCTAATGCAATGAAGAAACGCCATGGCACAGGTAGCGACGTAGCAGCATCCGGGGGGTTTGAAGTGTTACAGGATAGCAAAGCACACCATCATACCAACTCACTCGGAGGTAATGTATATAGGTTCACAACACTTGCAAAAAGTTAGCTTCACATTGCATCATCCTGGCACTGAATAGCCCGCCTGCTAAGGATAAGGTGTGACAGCCCACCAGCCATGTAGGGGTGCCACTGGCTAGGCGGCCCTCACAGAATGCCATAACCGTGAAGCCTGCAAGGCCAAAAGCTTCAGTTCCTCACAGACCCTCGAAGCGTGTTCTGGCTTTTTCGCACTCGGCCGCCTCCACTCATGTCTTTCTTCTCTGGTCTTTCTTCTCTGATTCGAGCAAAACTTGCTTGCTTGTAAGATGGAACACAACAATCTGGCTGGACAATTAGGATATGCGGAAGAGCTTTGCATGGAGAGCCTAACTGCACTGCATTCACGATCAAATAGGTGTCCATTTTCACCTTAGCCGCTCGTCAGCTCGAACATCAATCAGTACAAACACATTATCTGATCATTTTAATTGTTTGATCTGTTTGTACTCATCATGTAAGCACAATAACAAGATGGAAGTCGTTGGTCCTGTGGATCCTGACACCTGTCCATTTGTGGCAAAATGACCGAAAGGGACACTTTCGCCTGTACAAGAGCCTAACATTTACTTCGACAGGTAGCCATTGCGATACTTCACAGACCTTCACCCATTGAGTTCTCCGAACTTCTATCAAGATCCAGGGACGGTTTCCATGACAGGGTCGCGGACGAAAAGGTATTTGAGCGTCTGCCAAAACGGTTTCAACGAAGAGGACATGATTCAACAAGTCTAGCTTTTGAGGGAGGCCTGTCGCTTTTCGACCTGGCCACACTTTCAACAAAGCTGAACGTATGCAAAAACTGCGGCATGGTTATCGCTTTTGAGGCCTATGGCTTTGTCGATTTGAGCTAAATTCCATTAAATTCCTAATTCAAACCGTTCTTTGCTCAACTGGTCATCACACGTTTTGGTGGTTGCTAATTTGAAGCTGAGCAACTGATGTTAGTCCGATGATATCACGGACATCTTCTCGCCAAAGCTCTGCTTGCTTTATGCGGAAGTCCATGATCTGATACTCCGTCTCCTCACAAGAACTATTTTGCGTCGAACATTGTCGAATTGATTTGCGCAAGCGGGGGACTTCACGCAAATTCGCTGCTGCACAAGCATGCACCATGTTGGAACCTGCCTGCCGCATTTTTCGGTCATAGAGGTAATTGTCTCCTCAGTGAAATGACAGGCAAAGACCAGTCCTGTTATATTTATACCTCCTGTTCACGCTTTGAATCAAGAAACATCGCAAATCAGCGTAGCATCAAGCTGAGTGCTGGACGGTTGTACTGGAAAAGGGAGCCACCAGCACCGGCCGCGGCTGCGGCACCAGCTGCTGCAAACAGCGGCATGGACCCGAGAGATTACAGCTGCAAACAGCTGGTATGCGGCTATGGGACCTGCGGAGTCAGACAAGACGTCGAAAGTGGGGAGACTCCAATAGACATGTTTGTCATTGTGTTCGCAGGCTGGTGCAGAAACCAGTCACTGGGGATCGATAGTAGCAGGCAGCAAGTTCCTTTTCTATTTCAACTGCGCAGAGGTCCTCAAATGTTTGAGAAGACGTCAGAAAACAGCGTATATAAATACATATATGTTCGTCACCAAAAATGACTTTGGCTCCGTCTCCTCAAATGGCCACAGAACTCGCAGTGTACATCAACCTCGTGTTCTCATTCTAGCAAGGCAAAGTATTGGTTTCAACTGCAACTGATTTGTCTACAACAATCTTGCATGAATCTTGCAGTTGCAAGTCTCTTGTGCACGTGCGAAAGTGATTGGACATGGCTATTCCTATAGTTCCGCTAAGCTTCCTCCCAAGTATTGTACCACTTCTTGGGCGAATTGCTGCTGTATTTTATTTTGTTGTACAAATCCGATTGAGCAGATTGGTGGCAGGTCTGTATTGCCTGCGGCTCAAAGTGAAACGATCTGCCTTGTGCTTTGATCAAAGGCTTAGCATTGGCCTCATCGCGCTTTTTTCACATCTTGGTGGCCGTGCCACTTGCATGTTCGCAGCCACAATAGCCGACACTAGTCTCCTGCAGGGCGTGCTTCACCGGTTCGTTAAAAACCATCCAAGGCTTGATTGGTGGACCAAGCGTTTGGTCGGCCCAGGTTTGGGACTGCTTGGCCAGCATCGTCCAACCCACAATAACTCATTAAAAGCTTGCATGCATATCATACGTCAAAGCATGGTCTAAACATAAAGAAACAAACTAATTCTCCAGATGCAGAGTGCATACACTTCGCAGAATCCTCTTCGGACACCACTAGTCGGTGTAGCTGTGCGAAGCGCTCTCCGGGCCTCTTGTGCCCTTGAGTCCTTGACATGTTGACAGTTTCGACTCGCAGAATGGGATATGTCATAGCGGTGGCAGAATATGCTGTATCATTTTGTGGACGAAGTATCGAAAAAGGATGTTCATAAAGTGTCCGCTGGGACGGAATTGCGGCATCGATACAACACTTAAGTAGGCTTGCATTGGCAAAATGAGGCCCACAAGCTATCCGAGATCCGTGCCCTGCAAACATAGGGATCAGGCTGTCCTTGGGTTCAAGCAGAATGGGCAGGAATGCCACAGACTTCAGTCAAGCTACTTGCAAAAGTCCATGCTGCAGGGCATGTAGATATGTATATATATAATATATATATATATGTATATGATAATATATGAACCTACAAAAGGGGTATTATCCACAAATATGCAATGTCTTGTCTCTGCTCCGACTCCATTCAAGCTGCTGCTTTCTTCGGCGCCCTCCGACGTTTCGGGTGACTTGCTGTTTGACTGTTCAAAAAAAGGCAGCCAAAAGGTGCACACTTGACAATCAAGAGAACGTGCGATCGACTGGTATCTGATTATCTGATTGAGCAACTATAATTTTTCTAGTTACAAATTTAAACAAGGCAGTGGGCTGGTTCTTGTCTTGACTGACATGGCGTGTCCATTGCCCGCCTTCCTGCTTCGCTCTGTTCCTGCAAAAAGGCCCAACCAGCAAAAGCTGTGCTTGATGTTTTGTCAATCTTGCCAGGCTTTGTGGTGCCAATTAATGTTCCACCTTTGGTTCCGCCATTGATAGCAATCATTGCTATGCCAGTCATGCTGGCAATGACGTGCCTGAGCCCTACGGATCAGCAGCTCCATGCACATGAGAAAGCGTTGAGATGCCACCTCAAACAGCTGCAGCGAGGACAGTCTGGCAAATGCAGAATTCAGAACTGTTTGTATCAAACATATCCAAGGCAAGTTGCGATCTCTCCGAAGACAAAGGCCAGCTTGCGCTTCATAAATTCAACAACCACTATATGTTCCTACAGTTTTGGCTCGCTGACTCACACGGCTCGTCCAGAAGGAACGATGCCAAACGATGCCTTTTCCAACTGGGCCAAGTCTCTGCATTGGACAGTGGCAAAGGTGGCATGGGTGTTGGCCCGGTAAGACTTCCTCCACTGAACCACCGGTCGTCATTCTTCACGATGCGGTACCTAAGCACGAAAAAAAAGAACGACAAGTAGGCCTACGTGACATGACCATTCGGTCATCATTGCAACATAGGAAAAATTGGAAATTACTGGGACATAAAACCTTTTGGTTAGAAACAACTTGGGTCAAAAAGTGTCCGCTTGACATCCTCAATGCCCCGATATTGGTTGATGAACAGGGCATACATGAAAGCAACCGCCAAATGATGGCAAATATCAAAGACCTGCAACCGTTTGATTCTATCGAACAGTTCGATACTTCGATGTTGAGTCTATCGCCTTTGGAGAGCCCGTGGATCGTGTTTTAGCAACTCTATCCCGTTATATAGACCTAAATACATTAATCTTCAAAAAATGACTGTGCGCTCACAAATCTGAAAGTCGGCGCTCATAATCTTTAACGAGGCACACCTTGGAAACCGCTGTGAGTGGAAACTCAATAATGCAGCCACTGCCCTGATCGATCCTTAGCAATGCCGGAATGCTCAGCGTTTGGAAGTTTAAAGTAAAAAGCTTAGATGGTTGATCATTGGATTAACATCCCAGGCTCTTGAGGGTTTGTAGATCCTCCAGAATCTGACAGTGAATGTCGGAGTATTCCTGGTGGACTTCAGCATGCAGTTGCGCCAATCATAGGCTTAGGACTTAGGACCGCTCGCACACATTTCAAGAGTATGTAAATCACTTCCGCTGGCCTGGCTGGAGCCTTAGCCAACTCACAAAAGTCAAGCTATCTCTCTCTATCTATCTCTCACCATGCTTACTCGTGTGCTGAAAATACAAACCATGAGGCTGTAGAAGCCATCAGCATGTTCAATCAAAAGCTTCACTTCCTGTTGACATGTTCGGCATGCAACTGTTTAGTTGACCACAAAGCAGTCTTTCCAGATAGTACAGCTGAGATTGATGCTAATTTGTGTCATGTGCATGCCTCGATTGAGGTCCATGACAAAATCCTGAAAGGGTAGAGAAATTTGAAGAGCAACCGAGTAGCACTCTTGATTGGAGCAGCATCCATTTCTAGATGCGTTTTGAAACTGAACACATTTTGTCCACAGTGACCATGTTCAATAGATCATGTCCAAAACATTTCACGAGAAGTCGTAGAAACGGAAAGGTCCTGAAAGACCTTGAGCAGCGTCGCCCGCCGCCTGAGCAAGTTGTGCGACAAACAAACTATGGACATGTTGAATGTCCTCCACTCTCTGGCACAAAACAAACCTTTTCCCAAAGCCAACTTCAATTCGGCTTCTGATTTGCTGTCAAAGTCACTTCTCCTCAGGTTCATCAGCCAAACAGTCAGGTGGTAGCGGATAGCGCAGCAGCCGCGGAAGCTGTATACGGTCCCTGAAACGCTGAAACCGTTTGTGCTCGTGTGCCACTAACGATTCACTATCAAAAGTACAAGACTTTCAGACTGGTTTTGAAACCTCTAGGGCAACGAAACAGAGATGATGAGCTGTACTTTTGAGTCGAGTACAGATGTGTGCGCCTGAAATCATGCTGCCGTGGAGTCATGGACAGGTGCTTTGTCCATTCGCCCATGGCCCCAGCGCGAGGTGAAACCTCATCGGAAAGAAAAGAGTTGAGTGAGATCCACTATACTGTAGCCGTTTGATCAAAGGTTGATAGACTATATGGATCTACATGGTGCATGAAGGTATGAAGGATATAAATGATAGGTGCGGGAATATCGTAGAACTACTTTGCATTTTCTGCATGACCATATGAACTCTACAAGAGGTCTAGAGTTGAGTCATGTAACTGTCACATCGAAGGAGTCATGCTCGGTCAAGAGGTGAACTGGATTCGCCAGCCGCACATCTGCGTCACTAGTGAGTTCCACCTGAGGCAGAAACAAACTTCACACTCCCGCCGACTTTGGAAACCGTTAAAAACTGAAATCATTTGAGAAGAAGGAACGGCTCCAGGGGGGCTTGTCCAATTGATTTAGTGCAGTGAGGCCAAGAAATGTGAGACTTAAGGACAAGGGACCACCTTCATCTCACCACTTACGGATTGCTCATGCCTTAGTCGGGTAGCTCAGCATAGAATGTCATCTGCATTCTCTGCACTGGCTTTATCACACGTCTTGAATGGTTTTGAGCTGTTTTTGCAAAAGATCGGAACATGCTTGTCGTGGTGTACTACTCAAACAGAATCAAACACAGTCGCTTTGGATTCTCAGCGAAGTTGCTGTACATTGCAGCAAAGCAAATGCCTGCGAACAAGGGAACACATCAAGCAATCATCTGCACTGGCAGCTGAACACTCATTGTTGCTTAAAGTGGGCAAGTACCGAAACACATCCAGAGTTGCCAATCAATAAAGCAATCTCAGGATGCTGTTGGCGCGAGTATGATAATCAAAGTATTGTCTGCAAGACAATGTATATAATATATGCAAAAGCATTGGAACATGTAAATCGTAAGTCAAGAATACATTGCTCATCAAATCAACTGCTCACATTGCCGAGTATAAATGTCAACCCTAGAACTAGATTTCAATCTTTAAAAAATGTGCGGTTTGTGCAACTGGAAGCTGTGCAGATCGAAAGCAGGTGCGCATTCACGAAAAAACGCATTGCTGGCACCTGTCCAGCGGCAGAAATGACACCAGGCTGCTCAGCAGTGACTTCTCCTGGTCCAATGAATTGAAGGAATAGTGGCATGGGGTATACAAACATATACAGACTATCTCTAGGACCCTAGGATCAACTGGTCTTTGCGTGTTTTTTTTCTTTGTACGTTGCCTAAGCAACGTTTACAAGTTCTCTGATGTCTGCAAACTCTTGGGGCTTTCGAAACGAATGATGCAAGGCTGAGAGGTCCCGCTCCTGGCCCTTTCCATGGGCCATGAGTTCCGTCACAGCTTCCCCATGACAAGCGGCTACAAAACCGGAAAAACACTATCCTTTGTGATCTTAAATTAGCTACTTTCGTATTTGTGCTTGAACAAACATAAACAGAAAATTACAACCAGCGGTAATTAGGCAATTGACAGTGGATGCTTGTGCAAAGCGGCCAGCTGAATGTTTGTGCGCGTCAAGCTCGTCATGATTTGCGTCTGCTTTTGTTCTTGTCACATGTCGCGCGAATGCAAGACAAAGTAAAATCTGCAGCCAATCTTGCGCTTTGAATGACGAAATGCATGTTTTGTCAAAAACATCCACCCAGTGCCACCCAGTCCCTTTCACAACAGTTTCAAAGCCTCAAAACTGGAGGGTGCATGGCGATGAGTGATCATGAGTTCTTTCCGAGAGCCAGCCTTCGTCCGATGCCTGAAGGGCGGCACAAGTGTCAATTTTGCACAACTGGTGGCCACCAAAAGAATTGTTGGTTTGGATAAAGCAACTGCAAAAAAGAAATGGCAATCGGAATTTGCTGCACAGGACCCAGGACTCGTTGCTTTCGATGCATTTGCATTTCAAAACCTGGCCTTTCTACATCAAGGTTATGGATGGCGGATAAGGGTGTGCTTGAGCACTAACTCTGCGGTGAAGGATGATAGACTCCAAGTAATGATTGAAGGCGTCCAATCCAAAGCTGAACAGTTGCGAGATCCTATCGAAACGGGAAAGGTCAAAACCCCAAGCATCAAGACAAGGTGAATTCGTTGTCTAACCCTTTGAAAATCAGAAACTCCCTCTAAGCCTCTACTCCAACACCGCTTGTCGAAGGCTCTGAGTGCTCTAAGTCTGAGTGCTCTCAGTGCCCCTGCTCTCGGCTACGCTCGGCCGACTCAGAGGAGGCGCTTCGGCGTTTCTTCTTCTCCTTCAGTACAGTAAATCCTAGTCAAACTGAGTCAAAGATGGTGTTGTCAATGTGACAACATGTCACTAGTGAATCTCATTGTCTCTTTTTTAAGCAATTGAGGGAGAAACTTGTTCGCTCCTAGCTACTTGACGCTACTACATATGGACACAGGATAGCTCGTGCTAATCATTTGGTTCCTAGATTTTTAGGGAAACTTAACTATAGTGCATCATAGTCAATCAAAGACTTCCACTGCATCGAATTGGAACACGATTTTAATCCCTATATCCACACAACACTACACAGCCACGTGGCACGTGGGTTTAAAAAAATCTCAACGAGATGAATGTGAGGACATTGTTGAAGAACTGGTTGCAAAAACCATCAGCTTAGCTTAGGAATATCTACTATACAGGAAATTCATGATGGTTCACCCCGACTCTTTGACTTGAAATTCTTTGAAGGTGTTCCAAATCACTGCCTTCTTCTCTTTTCTTTCGCGCTCGCGACCATCGCGATCTTCTCGATCCCGATCATCCTTACGGTCGCAGAAAGGCATAAAGAGCAAAGCATAGCGATCCGAGGCAATGCAAAACACCCTTTCGCATCCATCATCATTCCAGAAAGAATTGGCCGCTGTGAAAACTCCTGAAGGAGACTCTCGGGTTTGGCTTAACAGCAATACCTTCTCTGAACATGCAGTCAAGGATCATCTTTGCCCATGGCGAGCGAGAACACACGAGGGAGAACCTGGCATTCTACAGGAGAAGTTTCCGTTGTAGGTGAAATGCTTCCGGGCACTGCTTCATTCAGAGTCCAGAACAGCCAAGAACAGGTTGCAATGCTCGTGGAGGTCACTCTGTATTTACAGCAAATCTCCTTACCAAATTGGACACAACGAAGCAATTTTGCCACTCGACATCTCGACTCTAACACAAGCTGGCAGCTCTTGGGCGCAGCTGCAAAGTTGCCCAGGATAAATGGCCAAGGAAGAGGAACGAAGCAGCGACAGAAAAATCCTTTACGACTCTACCGACGTGGATCAATCACACTGGACTGGTTTTCCCTTCAGTGTGGTTTGCACATGCTCTTCATTGAACATCATTGCACACAGAAGCCCTAGCTTGGAAAGCTAGAAATACTTTGGTTGGCACTCCAAGTCACAAACGAGAAATCTGAAGCACAAACCCTCCGGAAGCATCAGACTTAGACTGAGATGCCGAGCCGTCGGTTCGAAGGAAAAGCAAACTTGGCCAAGTCCCCAGCCTGACCCAGTTATGCAAAGAAGCTCCGATTTGAGCAATCAGCCCCTAGTAGCATCCTTGTTCCTAGTAGTAAGGCCAGGAGCCCCCAGTAGCTCTTGTAATCCATTTACGCCCTTTAAGCCTTAAACTCTATACGACAACCAGCTCTATGAAACTCCAAAACAACATGCCAGCGGCTCTGGACCCCATACTCGAATATGGGTTTCATCGGCTGAAGCAAAGGTCCGCTTGACCAAGGGTACCTCACCAGCATGTGTCATCTATTTTTCATGTTCACGATTCCCATATATAAACTAAGGACCCTCAAAGTTACTGTATGTCAATCATATGCACTTAAGTTCTAACGAGTCTACAGGAAATTGAAAAATATTGAGAAAGGATAGGAGGAGGCAACCCACTCTGTTGACTGCGCCATTGAAATCAATGACCTAGAGGTGGACCTAGAGGTGGTGGGACAGCTATATAAACCTTTCAGGTGGTACTGTCTGTACATGTCAACACCACCATCGCTCAGTGTCTGTTTGCATTTGATTGCAGAGGCTGACAAATTGAGCTGGATGAGAATGTAAACGGGTGCTCCCCCATTTTGTTTCATGGAACTGTTTGTGCAAAGGGCAAGTCGCTATTTGAATTTCTGACGACTTTGCATTCCCCAAGCTGTAGAGTTGGTCAAAACATCATTGAGTGGGCACCAGCTGTACTGCAGGCGTCAAATGCCCTGCATAGGTGAGTTCCCGCCTCAGATTGCCAGGTGACGTTGAAGAAATGCGGCGATTTAATATGTAATTTTCTTGTTCTATTGATTCTAGTACGACCTAATGGTTTGTGATTTTCACGCGGCAAATGGCAAGTCTCTCGCTCAGGCTCTCGCTCCAAGCCAAAGTTCAAGGGCTCCGAGCCCTGCCCAAGTTGCGAATGAAACCTATTCCAGCTGAAAAAATGTCTGCAATAGACAGTATCGGGCAAGAGTCTTCATAGTTTTGAAAAAAGAACTTACTTTTTCCTCTGTTGGCCAGATCTGCCATTGACGCAGTCAACTGATGGTGCATCTGGGAAGCGCAAACTGTCGACATACGTTCTGTAAATCAAGTTCCGGGCAAAATCGAGAGTGAACACCTCCATGAACGCAAAACATCAACTCAGAACTACCCAAAGCCCAGAGCTGTCCTTTGCATCTGAGCCAGAACATATCCTTGTGCCACACAAATGATATTATGGAGCAAGAACAACAACAAACAAACAAACAAACAAACAAACAAACAGCCAACCAACCAAACAAACAAACAAACAAAGAAACAACAACAACAACAACAACAACAACAACAACAACAACAACAACGCGTTTCATGCTTTAAAACAGTTTGCACATGGAGTTTCAAGCGTGATTTTCGCTGCTGCCCGCAGCATTTTCACACTGTCGCACGAAGGGACGGCATCAGGATGGCATCCCATCTTTCCGACGCGGCATTTTCTTGCCATTGCCATCCCCCCAACCCCCCACCCCGTTTTTGTTTATCGATGGCAAGTTCTATGAACCCGATGATAAGTTCTATCAATCCGATGACAAATTATTCTTTTGCATCCGAAAACAGGTTCTATACTCCTGATGACAAACTCTATGAATCTGATGACACGCAGTATACCCACCCACCCCAGATATGATGGCTTGGGCACAGTCACAAACCCTGCGCGCACCATGATTACGGCCCTGAACCCCGACTTATAAGGGGATTTAACATCTGTACTGCGCGCCGAACACAGCAATCGGACCCAACAACAACAACAACACCAGGTTAACATCAAACAGGGAGAAGAACGGAAAGAAAACAGCAGCGAGACACATACACACACTGACAAACAACGGCAACGTTGGAAGTAAGGCGCCCCCTCGCAGAACCAATCACGAATTGCAAAACCTGTCAAACTGGGCCAAGCAGGCGGAAAGATCATTCAAATCAAGCAACAAATTGAATTTCGGAAGTGCGACCATTTGCGAATGTTATCTCACGAATTAAGCAGAATAATAAATTTAGATAAATATATATACAGCAAACTGTCAAACTGTTGCAACCAAACTCAATCCATAGAGCCGTAGAGATGCCAAGAGAACACTGAAGGACGAGTTCAGCACGAAAAACACATACAGGCGAGGGTTTTGGAACACAAGCCAATCATGCAGCCAACAGCGAGCTGGTTATCAGGATGAATGATAAAAACTACATAAAACTACAACAACCGCGCCGATGCCGACGACCAACAAAAAACGCCTTGTCTGAGACAAAGCAGCTGACACACTGGTCCTGAACACCCGGACACCCTTTTGAAAACACCCAACTACAAACAACGCACGTCGGAGACCCTTGAATACAGCTTACTTTTGCTTTTGTGCCACCGCCTTCATAAACTACTACAAAACTACACACACAGGTCACAGGTCATCTTGGCAACTTTGTATACTTTTCCAGACACCCCTACCCCACCGCTGCCTCCCTCTCTGCGTCTCTCTGGCTAGGCAAATTGATATTCTTTGCCCCAGCCCCACAAACATGCCACGGTCCTATCTATCGATAATCTGCCTTCTTAGAGGGCATCAACCTGCCTCTAGCGCCATGCTCTACTGGCTGCCCTGACCATAAAGAAAGGCTTGCTTGCAAAGGCAAGAGGGTTGAGTGGGGGGCCTTGCTTGGCGCACTGCTCGCGCCTAGCTTCCTTGCTACCTCTCAGCCTCGCTTGCTTGCTCCAGGTGCCGCTGCGTGTCTCCAGTACGCGTCCAGCTTGTTCTCCAGGCAGTGTACCTTGTACTTCACTGTCTGGAGCTCTGCTGGACTCCCTGCAGGTTTGCTGGCTGCCTTCTGCAGCTGCAAGCATGTGGCTCTGCCTCCCTCAGCTGGCTGATGGACTGGGCTTTCTGACTGCCTGAGACCTGTCTCACTCTCCTGGGCTGGTCTGGCTGCCCAATTTTCCACTGACTCGCGCTGGCCCGTCTGGCTGACTGCCAAACCTTCTTAGCGCTAGCTGACTGACCGAAACCCTGGTTCCTAGTTAAATGGATCCTATTTGGGGAACATCCCATTTGGGGGAGTTTAATATTAGCGGGAGGCGTGTGTTTTAATAGGTGGAAGGGAATAGTGGTGCAGTCAGGCTCAGAATACTTGCTCTGTCACCCTGATGCATATGAATGATGAGCATGTGTGAAGAAGAAACGTGAAAGAGTTGCCGCTACACTGCAGGCCTCTTGTGGCATCAGCCACGTGGCCCACGAAGGGGCCTGTGGGAGATTGGCAAATCGCAACATCTCTCTGCCTGATTGCCAAATCCCTGTCCTTGTTTCTTTTTTATTCATTGACTGTTTCTGAGTCGCCAGTCCTGGATGTCAACTTGCCATATCGGTCAAAGCCCGAACGCCCCCCCCCCGTTTGGGCCTCCAAGCTTCTGACACGCTGAAAACAAGCGCTTGAATCACTGGAAGTATAATTATCAAAGTATCCTTTGTGCTTTGACAGCAACTCTATGAAACACTCAGTTTGTTCAGACACTGTGCAGTCTTGAAGAGTCTCCAAAGATTCTCCCAGTCTTCGCATTTTCTTCGATCCAAACTGTACAACTCAGCGGCTCACAGGGCCGACTCTTGGGATGCTACTCTAAAGGGCAGTCTTGATATCCGGCACAATGATCCTGCTTGGTATTTCATGGTACCGGACACAATGGTCACACCGAGACTGGAATTCAGCTCCCTTCACCTTTTGCGTTATATATGTATATATAGTTTTACCCCGAGTACCTACTAAAGAAGCATCCCCAATTAAAAAACACCACGTCCGAAACCCTAAATTCGGTTTAAATTTGCTTTAAATTGATGCCCTTTCAAGCCGCTACTAAACTACCAACATGGTCGACTTTGGGGGTAGTTTCTTTTATTCGGTTCCAAAATCAACCGTAACTGCCCACATCTGTCCGCCCTGTGTATCCACCATCACACGCCACGTTTACACCAGCAGGTTTTCCTTCCTCCAATGGCACGGACTCTCGCAAACGCACTTGCCACCGAGGTCGTGCAAAACCGCATGGCACAGCGACATCACCTTTCGAAAGCTTTGGTTGTTAGTCTAGTGAAAAATCAGTATTCTAATAAAGGTTTTTTAGGTGAAAAGGAAGACCCTTCGATCTGGAGGTTTTTTGAATTTTTGATACGAGTTTAATCAAGGATTTTATATAACACTTTTCTGGATGACTTTTTGGTTTTGAAGCTCTTCCCAGGTGACCCTATTCTGGACCCCCCGATTTCAGGGACCCCCTATTAAAAAGAATGCGACCGAGTTTCTCTTAATAAGGGGAGGTTTTTTTTTTAAATTGGTGGACAGGATTATATATATATAGCATGTAACTGTTGCATACTTTTACAATGTAACTATTTTGGATCATCGACCATTCGGTTGGGCTGCAGCTTCCAATCAATTCAAACCTTGAGAAGGTGTCCTACACTGGCTTGGCCAGCTTCAGAACAAAGCCCCAATTGACTTTGAGTCTGGAGCTTCCAAAAACTCTGGTCGAGAGCACTCTCGTCCAAGTTCAATTTCAAAGTCGGCCAGTACCCGCATGTACCTCACCACGGAGCAACAAAAACACAGATTGCTCTCAGAAGTGACATCATGCTGCCAGGCTTGCTAGCGGAACAGGGCAAGATCTAAAGGCACACTACAAATTCAACCTGTAGATCGAGCTGCATAAACCTCACAGGAATCAGCCGTATGACCAGTCATTTCATGGGCTGAAATTACTTCTAAGAAGGATATGTTGGTCCGTATGGATTCTGCAAATTGTTGATCATTTGGCTCGACAGCCCTTCCTGAAGTAGATGTACGGAAGTTCTGTCAAATACTCATATTCTAGAACCTAACAAATACAAACCACGGAGTACAAACAAATAGAACATACCAAAACTACCGAAATATGCGCTCTCTCTCTCTCTCTCTCTATCTCTTGCAACCTCAAACAAGTCCCAGCTGTACAATGTAAGTTCTAAAGCAGGTGCAGCCCCGGACAATAGAAAGTCAACTTTGAGAAGGACAAAAGTGAAGGCACGCGACCCTTTCATAAGAACCCCTTTAGAGTCTCCTCTTGACCTTGAGTAGCCAGAAAGCTTACTCCCTTACTTTATTAAGTAGGCGCCTACTTACAAGTAAGAGCGGGCTAAATACTCGCAAGATTTCAATTCACAATTTCAAGCTTCACTGGTGAACAACCATCAATCTGGCTCTCTGTGAGTTCAAAGCTACCTCTTTTGGTGACATGTAGATAGATAAATCAATCAATAATAGAAATATGTATTGAATACATCAATGTGCTAGCGCGGTGCTAGAGCTGTACTAGCGCCTAGCTTGTGTTTTACTGCATTTAGCTGGGGGCCCGCCTCTGAACGAAATTGTTCAGCAAGCAAAACACTTGTCATTATTGCCTTGATCTAGGTTCGGTGACCAGGACTTCTGGTCGCGTGCCTGTTAGTTTACCAAAAACGGAAAAGTCTGAACCTTTGGCCTTGGTGCTTCGGTCTGATTGCGGGTCGCTTCTCACGAACCAACTTCAGGGCGACGTCCAAAGTAAGGCCTTCAACGGCCATGAGAAGTGCCATGACAATGATGGCAGAGCGGTTGCAACCCAGTGCACAGAACACGTAGATCTTGCCTTGGCAAAAATTGCAATTACTATATACTGAAGCTGCAAGCAATTTCACCAGCCAAGAGCAGGAGCACAATCGAGAAATCTATATAGAAATCATGAAACTGAAACTGGAAAGGAAAGCCACATATGATAGTTTCTGACAGAGTGACATTCAGGTTCCTCCAAGGCTTTTTGAGCAAATGCCACTGCAATCTTGAAGGCTGTAAGACATTCTGCTTCGCTTCCTTTGTCCTCAAGGTTGAGGATCAGCAAATGCTCGAGCTTCTTCATGACCTTGGTGCTTTGAAGTTGCATATCCATATCCAATAGCACACACTGCATGTTTTGCATAGACTCTAGACAGATAAAAGGCCTTTTGCTACGCTAGGGAGTCAAAGCAACACAAGAAAGTGTGTCCAAAATGGTCCTGTGCATTGTGCATTCTTCAAAAAGAGCATTGCTCATTAGTCCAACTGTTTGTTTCCAAGCAGCTGGCGAAACATTTCGCTCCAACGCTGCACAAATCCCATGGGTTGTCTTCTCCAGCTGCCATGCACCATCTTGCAATGCACCGCCAAGGCACAGCCAGGGAGTAATTTCGCTCACGACCTAAGTCAGAGCACAATTGGCAGCACAACGTCCTCTCTAAACAACTTCAGAACAGGTGTGCAAGCAATGTCACATGCATTCACCATCAAGTCATATCAAGTCTACAGTTGTCCCTGCATCCACTCATGATATCAAACTTAGAATGGTTCAGAAATGTTCGGAATGACAATGGAGATGAAGTCAGGAGGTGTTCTTACACAAAGACAGATACAACAACCCAATGACGCCAAGGCCTTCCTATAATAATCTCCATGTTTTCACACCAGTGTGTGGTTCCTATGGGCCCTTACAGCTTGACTTGACTCAGGTGGCAAGCCACAGTCTGCAAACGAGTTTGCTCTCATCTGGCCGTATGGCTAAGCTACATGAGTTTGCGATTGCTTGTACTGCTCCTTTGCCCTTTGGCACTCTTCCACAAAGTCCAGAAGCCTGGAGAAAGAACGACAAATGGAGGATCTAGGGAAAGACTTTCCAAGAAACAATCTGCACGTTGGGATCAGCACCTTCAACTTCACAGCCAAACAAGAACATGTCTCAGAGAAATTCTCCCCAAGTAACGTACTGGCAAAGGTGGAGATTTGCATCAAGTACCCGAAGCCCAATCAAACCTCCTAGACCTAAATCCATCCATGAAATCCACCTTGTGGTTGTCCTTTCCAAGTTTGCCTTTGATGAGGAGGCCTTGAGTCTGTGATCTTTGGAGGATTCTTTGTCGTGCGGATGCAGTTTTTACAGCGTGAACTCTCCTTTCGCCATTGTGAGCCGGAAAACTGCTCCTTGCAAGACGGACCAAAATCAAACTCTCAAACCTAGAACACTTCGAAATGCCCAAATGCCCAAAAACATCCAAAAACAAACATGAGTATTGATGTCAGTGCCAAGACTGATGGGTGTTATCCGCAAGTTTCGGATGGCCCTTTGAAAAGCATCCGTTGCCAACAAGGAAATAAACTGTTGATCAAGACCAAACAACACTAACAAAACTGCTATCAGTGCATAAGCGCAGAAACGATCATAAAGGGAATCGGAATATCGCCAGTGAAAGACATGAGAGCTAGTTGCATAGGATGCACAAAGACCATCAAAGAGCTAAAACATCCCAAAACATCCTAAAACCAGGAGCGCAAAAGCTTCCACCCAGCTTCTCCTTGGGCAATTCTTCTGCACATGAAGTACAAATCCTCCTGGTCTCAAAGGTTTCGAGCACTGACATTGAGCCGCAACTGCGCAAGGGCACCATGCACGGCTGCAAAAAAACACGCGAGACTGTGCGAGATTGCCCATAAACCCAAAACAAACAAGGTGTTCACAGGATCCAAAACAACAATAAATACACAGAAGGAAACACTAGTCTAAGGGACACAACCAGACACTGTGTGTGTGTAATTGTGTGTATCTCTTTCGAGTCGTGCACTTGTGCAGGCAAAGACAAGTGAATGCAACATGATGCTGCGAGATGATCATCAAGACGCCGTTGGTTACCCCAGAATTGGAATACCAGTAGCTATTAAGTATATAACGGAATAGTAATGGTATGTAGAATATTGTAGAATAGTTGCAATCCTCCAGAGTGTCTTGGAAGCTCAGTGCTTTTCCCTCGTAGACTTCTCGGTCTCCTCACGGACTCTACATGAGCTGGGGGGACGAAAACTGGACCAGCGAGGCAAGGCCTCCCAAAACACCCACCGAGGCAAGGTCGAAACCGCCACGTGCAAAGCAGCATAGCACTGTGCACTCGATTTGTGCGGGAATTCACTTGAAGAGTGGAAGCCCAGCCCTCGGGTCCTGCACGCGCTGACAAGGTGTTTTTCAGATAAGTCATACACTATCACCCTAGTAGCGTCCTTGCTCCTAGTAGCGAAGGCCCTTTGCTCCTAGGAGCTTCTTGTTTCTAGTAGTAGGGGCCCCTAGTAGCATCCTTGCTCCTAGTAGCTATCATACAGTATCATAGGGAGATTAGTTTTCATGATCACCAAGGGAAACGCCACAGAAACAATCGGGTCACGTTTGTTCTCTGCCTCAAGGGTCTTTTTCTTTGTTTTTTTTGTACTTGCAACTCCAGACACCGTGGGTAGTGAAATTGATATGTCGATGCAAAGAATGTAACAGACCACGGCTGCCACGGCTCCCATGCCAACAGGTTTGGTTTGTGAATCAAACATATGCAGAGTTCTCACTGAGGACTCACGACAAGGACGCTACTAGGGGCTCCTGGCCTTACTACTAGGAGCAAGGACGCTACTAGGATGTTGAAATCATGACGTTACCTGCGTTAGCTCACCCCTCACTCCCAAGAGGTCCATGCTGGACTTCATCTCAGTAGTGCGGAACAACTCCAGGATCTGTTCCTTCTTGGACAATGCCTTGAGAAAGCGCGGAAACAAGTCAACCTTCAGCAAACATACCAAAGGCTGAAATGGATGCCCAACTACTTCTCTTGTTTGTGCCATTCGGCACCCAAAATGAATTCCAAACTCTCAAGCCTTGACCAAACCTTCAGGTCGCCTTGATTTTGTCATCTCCTTGCAATGCAGTCGACACGTCCTCGTTCTCAATCCCCACCTGCAATTTCTTGCAAATGGCATTAGTGCAAGACACCTCTTTAAACTTTGACTTATGACGGCACGATATTGTTATACGATTCTAGAAAGTTGAGTGTTCCCTGTCGCAGGTCAAGCGCTCTGGGCTAGCGGCTAGAGGTATTCACAAACTGGAGAGTATCATCTCAAGCCTCCTCGCACAAAGCATCGATCTCCTCATCCGTCAGCTCTGAGAGACGTCGGATCATGATCTCCTGGGTTTGCCCAGAACCCTTCAGCAGATTTGGCAGTCTTGGAAGACACGCGAGGTAGATCTGTCAGGCCAAAACACTGGCACAAACTGAATGACAAAAAAACGGTCAATGCGCATTCTCAACAGCGTTTCGACTCTTCCTGCTCGTAGTTCGAGAGCTGCTTGGCGTAGGTGGTTTGCTTGTTCTCCACTCGCCAAAGGTACCTCTTGAACAGTTCAACCGGACCACCTGATTTCGCTGCGGTCCATTGGTCCATGGATTCCAGTTGTGTCTTCTGTCGTTTTATGTATTTTTCGTCACAGCTTTTGCTCGTGTAGCAGCGTAGCATGGCGAACCAGCCAAACATGGCAAGGCTTCACCCAAAACAAGATCTGGCAGGCGCACATTGGCCCTTGTATGATCTCATCGTTGCTCGTTTTGTGCTTGCACAGCGTGTGTCTAGCATGATCTCATCTCACATCGCAATGCATGCCATGCTGGTGGTGTCCAGCTGCATGTCTCTCAACGACAAAAACCCAGAAATGCTTTGGAGGGCAACAGCTGCACCCTCAGTCTGGGTAGAGAAGCTCCTCTCCGAACCATTTCCTGGCATGGAAGACATAAGATATGGACTAGGCCCACTACGCAGAAGGACTAGGCCAAATGTAAAGCTGATGGCGAACGAACAACAGGAAACAACACAAGAGGATGCTTCTATTCGCAGAGTTCTACCGTTGATGATGTGTCAAAAAGGATCCCAACAACAGCAACTTGATATCAATGCAAGTGCGATTCTTGCAGTTGTTCTGTCTATTATGTTATATTGTCCTTGTTCTGCTTCGAAAGCTACCAAGGTCAGGCCTGCTGATGAGATGGTTTTGGGTCGAGAACATTATCGCCTGAGGCACAAGCAAACCAAGTCACGAAACAGGGTTGAAACAAAAACCCTGTTGGAGCATTATGATTTCCACAGCCCAGGCCAGGAGCATGGGCTGCAACGCTTCAGTTGAATTGGACAATCGTTTCTGCATCCGGTCAAAAACGACTGCAAAGAATAGTAGCACAAATTGCAACACAAAGGCCAGGGCCAGGGTATACTGAGATGATGTCGAAAGCAAGAGCTTGAAAGATTTGTTTCCGGGAAGCACCAACCGATAAAACAGGAGACCCTCCGGCTTCAAGCTGAGTGCTTGACGTTGTGCGGCGCAACTTTCATTAACTCTGGTGCCAAGCCCCGGAAGAACTCGCGAAAACCTGCACGAGCACAGAAGTTCAACGATAGAACTGAACCAATGAAGGAAGGAAGGTGCAAACACTTGCTGGAATTGCAAGAAATATGAACATGTCAAGAGACAAAACAACGTGCAAGCAAAAACCTAATACCTATAAGCAATCTCCATCGTTGCACAATGTTTGCTGGAGGGAGATTCAAACAAATTATACTTGTTCACATGCTAGGCAATTTATATAATCAAATATAAGATAACCAAGAAATACCAAGAAACTCAGGATTCACTACTGTCAAACTGCTGAGTCCGCACCGAATAGCCATCGTATTGGTGAGCCTGAGAAAACAAACACAACAGTGACAGTTACTCAGAACATATCTCCAGTTCTTCTGTCGCTGATTATGATTGTCTCCATTGACGACAAAAGCTTGTATTCAGCAATTTCTAGCAATTCAGCAATTCCATCATGTTCCATCCAACAGTGGGCAATGCAGCTGGTGACAAACGCAACACCGAGCTGAATGCCAGCCTTGGTTCCGCAATACACCGGTGAGGAAAATGTGGCGGATTGCCTGAAAGGCTCATCGTGTATGGCGAGTCCAATAGTAGCGTCCTTGTTCATAGCAGCGATGCCCTTGTTACTAGTAGCTTCTTGTTCCTAGTAGTAAGGCCAGGAGCCCCTAGTAGAGTCCTTGCTCTTGCAAGTATATAATCAAAATATACGACTTTCATTGACTTCGTGTCAGTCTTATTGGACACACAGCAAAGTCGTTAGACTGCCAGCCGCCCGAATCAACTTAGATCGATTTCGCTGCTTGGATCTCTTGCCTGCCACACGTTGGTGTAGACCAAAGGCCGGCCGCCAACGCCTCAGATTGGCTACAGTCATCGTGTGAGGTCAACCTACGTCATACACAAAGCAATACTTCAAACACAAACACACAAACACCCAGTATTTGCATGGACGGCACTCCCCAGGTTGATGTCAAGCATGACTTGTTTTCAAAACTTGTTTTCCTCTTGGACCCTTTCCCAGCGCGCGTGCAGGTGCTTGCATCCAAAAAGCCAACCATTTGCATTTGCCGCCGCACCAGGTCCATGGGAAACATCGCAATTGACGCAAAGCTGCCTGTGCTTGTTTAAGCTGTCAGAGCCGAGGATGGTAGAGAATTGCAAAGCTGTTAGAAACAAAGTAAAACCAGAATTGATCAAACCCAATGGTGGAAATCCTCATATAGATTTTACAATCTTACATGATTCCGCAGAAAGTGGCACACAGTGGCGAACTGGAACACTGACCTTTTCTCTTGACACACGCGGGTGCATATTGGTGCATATGTGTGCGTGTGATCCACCCGTTTCGAATGCATTGGACAAAAGTGAACTATGCAATATGCATCATATGCCACTATATGCCATATGCATGACGTCAGGCGCCACCTGCACAAGCGCCAGCGCAGAACGTCAGGCTAAAGCAGCCAGGCCTTGGACAAAGTTCCGACTGCAATTCGACGGCAATTGGATGAAAAAGAAGTCGTGCTTCGTTCAAAAACAGAAAGCGCATTGAAATATAGCTCTTTGGACAAACTCCTTGGACAAAAATAAGAAAAACACTTTGTCAAAACAATAATTATACCGGCATAGACCCCAGATAGCACTTCAAGAAAAGGATGGCATGGCAAGAGCGGGAGACAAGCTTGGGAGACATCCCACTCCAAGCCGGGAAAAGGATGGAAAAGGTAAACAAGACCTAAATCATCTGTATAGCAGCATCTGCGTCAAAGGCAGGCAAGAAAATGACAAGGCGGCAGCGGCAGCCAAGAGCGAAATCATGAAGGGAGACAAGCTTGAGAGACAAGGCGGCAGCGGCAGCCAAAAGCGAAATCATGAAGGGAGACAAGCTTGGGAGACAAGGCGGCAGCGGCAGCCAAGAGCAAAGTCATGAAGGGAGACAAGCTTGGGAGACAAGGCGGCAGCGGCAGCCAAAAGCAAAATCATGAAGGGAGACAAGCTTGGGAGACAGGGCGGCAGCGGCAGCCAAAAACGAAATCATGAAGGGAGACAAGCTTGGGAGACAAGACGGCAGCGCCAAAAGAAAAATCATGAAGGGAGACAAGCTTGGGAGACAAGGCGGCAGCGGCAGCCAAGAGCGAAATCATGAAGGGAGACAAGCTTGAGAGACAAGGCGGCAGCGGCAGCCAAAAGCGAAATCATGAAGGGAGACAAGCTTGGGAGACAAGGCGGCAGCGGCAGCCAAGAGCGAAATCATGAAGGAAGACAAGCTTCACAGACAAGGCGGCAGCGGCAGCCAAAAGAGAAATCATGAAGGGAGACAAGCTTGGGAGACAAGGCGGCAGCGGCAGCCAAAAGCGAAATCATGAAGGGAGACAAGCTTGGGAGACAGGGCGGCAGCGGCAGCCAAAAGCGAAATCATGAAGGGAGACAAGCTTGGGAAACAAGGCGGCAGCGGCAGCGGCAGCCAATTCAGCAACCCATCCATTGAGAAGTAAGAACCCCCATAGCTTCGCTATCTGGGGAATAATGTCAAACAGCTTAGACTGCACAATGCACTGCACATGTGGTGCAGTCCAATTTCCAAGGCAACCAAAAAGGACTGATTCTCTCTTGACACGAAGTTCTCCATGAAATTCGAACAAGTTCCTGAGTGGCATAATGGCGGGTTGGGCTAGGCATCTGGCTCCAACCCAAGCTTGACAAAAAGACGTTTGAACTCATCAAATGTTGTGAAGTTGATGGCCTGATGGCAATGCGGCGCAAGAAATTGTACGAGTATCTTCAACACAACCAAGTAAAGTCCAAACAATGCCCATGAACCATGTTGCAATGCAGGTTGCGCTTTCATGTTGAAATATCTTGTGTACTGGGGTTGGCATGTTCACAGACCTCTTGACCCGTTCTGCTTGCAGGTTGCAACTGACTTCCACATCGAAGAAGAAATACACAACACTTCACGAGGTCCTTTTTGCAATGGTCATGCGCTTGCACCTCCTTTCTCATGAATCTTTCAATTTCTTTTGGAACCCAAATGCAACGCAGCAGTTGCTTCGTTGGAGTAGGAATGATTTGTTTCTTTTCTTTGCATGCCCCCTTTTTCCATTTCTTGTTTACCGTCGGCAAACGATTTCGGCAAAAAATGAAGAAGGTGTACGTTCCTACACTCTGCAAAACAAATGTCTGGTAGTCTGGTTTGTTTGGTATTTTCCGCAATAAGCTGCAGAAATACATCATAAAGCCCTTCATGTTTGCAGTGGGCACTTGCGCAAAGGAATTCTCGGAAGTAAAACACTTGACTTGACTCGAAGAATGTTCAAGCACAAGTAAAATCATGGGGCTGCATACTTACAGCACTTGATCATGAAAACAACATGACCACACGAGCCATCAGCGTCTGTCATCCGCACTTACTTTCAAAAGAAACCCAAGTTTGTTCAGCAAAGACAATGCAACCATGCCAGTTCCCTTCCACCTGCCTTCGACTCTTGCATAAAATGTCTTCAAATATTCGAATATATTTGCTTTGGTCATTAGTCAAGGTGCAATTGAGGGCGTTGTGCTGCACAGGGACACGCTGATTCCTCTGTACAAACCTGTCCGTCGATTCAACAACTGGTTTGCATTCAATGACGCAGCAAATATTATTCAATTTGGCATTCAAGAGCCAGGAATTGTTAAGTTTCCCTAAAAATCTAGAAACCAAATCATTAGTGCGAGCGCTTCTTCAAAGCTTCCTTGAAGAAGCGTGAGCTATCCTGCGTCCAAGCTACCTAGCTACCTCGGGCTACCCCCCGGCTTAAAAAAACAGTTTGCAGTAGTTTGCCGTGGTTTGCGTTCTCTGCATGGACAATCGGATGGTGACAGCGGCTCCCACATGTTCACTACAAAACAGTGTTGGTCATCCCAAATGTCCGTCTGTGTTCAATCGTCATTTCTGTTTGACTGTGCTACAGAAAAAGGTGAAAGACAAGTGATGTTCAATTTGCTTCTTGAGGGGTGTTCCAAGCAGAACAAGGCCTCGAACGCCTTCATCCCGGCAAATCTTTTTCGCGCAGTCGATAATGCCGGAGTAGTACTCAGTGCGCCTGGCAAACGCAGTTGCACATAGCGACTAAGCCGGTGTCTGGTGAAGCTGGTGCTGCCAATCTATGACCGTGATATGACACAATCATATTGATGATTATTGATGCTGACTATGCTGCGGCCAAAGCGAATGCTCTCTCGCAGGTTTGCGTCCGCTGTCCATGCCGGCTTGACGTTTGCGCCATCAGTCGAGTCTTGATCACATCCAAAGGGTGAAGGGTGCAAACCTAGTTGGGCAGTCGGAAAGAAGGATAATGAATACTATGTTACTGTTAGCACAACACTACACTCACTAGGCATATAAATGAAAGAGATGGCATGTGTTATTCTTCAGCTTGCTTGACCCATCAGGGCCCCCAGCCGCTGCACACGCAGCTCCACCACCCGCCAACAAGTGCCGGCTCTGGTCACAAGCGCAGTTCAATCTTATCCGTTTGAAGTGAAACTAGTCCGGTCCCCCAAGTCTTAGGCTCAGCAAACCAACCAGAATCTGTGATATGCACATGAAACCGTTGCAGCTTGCTGCCTTCCGTTGCAAAAACATGCAAAAACAAGGCTTCAAGACTTGAACTAAACTATGCGAGCATATAGACCCCAAACAGTTTCAATTCTTTTTTGCGTCAACTCCTTGAATTCCAATGTTGGTGGTAACAGTTAGTTATATTCCTATAGCCTCCAGCTCTTTGGAAATGGCATGTAAGCAAAAAATGCTTGAAAACAATAGCTCCTGATTCCCGGATCACATGTGCAAAAACAAGAGGATATATGTCATGAGAATATCCGAGAATGATATCAAATTCGAAACGCTGTATCACTGTTGCATTCATAGCCACTCGAAAATATAGGCGGTGGAGAAAGGGAAAACGGGACAAGGCTCAGACCAGGCGGTGATAAGAGGGCTGGCAACCCGGACAAGCAAGACAGACGGACCAGGACAATGCCTGGACAAAGCCCTCACAAGGCGAGAACGAAAGCCAGTAATCTGCTTGGGGAACAAAAGCTGTCACACGCTTTCAGCAATTGCTTGAAAAGTGTCTCGCACAAATGGCATGGTCGGATTTCCACCTGGTCTGGAAGCTTGGAGGCATAATAGCTTTGCTGCAGCGTCTCTCTGATTGCGGCCTTGGTGTCTTGCGACACAATCGGATTTCAATTCATCTTGATACAAAAATGGTTGCCAGACTTTCAGGAAACCAATGTGGCAGCTCTGTTGTACTCGATATTGGACATGATGGACTGAATGCTGGACAATGTACTGTTCAGCTGTCTGTGGTTCTGCTAATCTAAGATCTTCACATTGGCATAGAAGGTGATCTAGGCCACGGACCAACATGAACTAAGAATCTTCACAGTAAACACATGTAAACACCCTCTTGAGTCTTGATGCACTTTGCTTGTGCACAAAGTTCCAAACAATTCCAAACAGCAAGATTTCACTCTCTCTCTCTCTCTCTCGTGCGAGCCAACGCAAGCATGCTATCAAGCCCGCACAAAGGTTGACACAACGGATCAAGGTTGAGGTCACCCAAGTGATTCGCTCGACATGATTCACGTTGAGAAACCATATTTCTCCTGAACATTGGAGGTGTTGCAGCCGTCTTCGACATGGAATGAGTTGTTTTGGGGGCAAAGTATCGCATCTGAAGTTCACCGATCCAGCGGAATACTCGCAGTCTCTGCTGGCGTCCAGGTTGCTGAAGTGTATGGAAAACGATGAAAGCATGTAGCAAGATTCCTGCGGGCAGGGCACGATGCACTCAGTGTGGAGAGGAGCTATTGCGGGCTATCTGCCAACTAAATATCATCAAAAAGTGATATGATACACTATCTCGCACGTGCTGTCGTTTTGTATAATCGAGGATTGCAAATTGCAATGCCCAGTAATACTATCTATGGGTGTTTCAAGATTGTCTCTCTAGGTTATGTTTGTCCAAGCCCCTCCCTCTCGGGAGCTGCGGCAGTCCCTCGCCAGAAGCCGGTGATGCCTTCCTCCAAGTAAATCTTCCTGCAACGCAAATCGATGCAATGTCTAGTGATGTCCACAGAGATCAACACAAGGGCATCAAGTGTAGCATCAAGCCAAAGTCTCAACAGAAAGAACAACGTACAAAGGAAGTACGCTGGTGTCTTAACCTCGCCACTGTCTGCACTCTCTTTCCTCTTCGGAATGTGTGGGTTGTGGGGGAAACAATCAGCACAGGACCACGTCATGTAGGAGCAACGGGACTCCGTTCCTGAGACTTTGAAATAGGTACCTTGGATTGTGCACGAAACGTTAATTGGCTTCACGAAACTCTCATCTAGAAAACAGGCTCTGATTGGAGCAGACACGTAATGTTGCTCAAACAAGCTAAGCAAAGCGAAGGAAGCAAAAAAGAGTTAACACCAACGTTACGTCATGTTACGTCTACATTGTGCTTCTTTAAGACGGTACTGGTTGTTGGGATTCTTCCCATCGACGAACTTGTGGGGCCGCATGGATTGCACCTCGTGCGCAACCCCTCTCTGCTCTGTCTCTTGGACCGGGCGCACTGATCCAACACTGATTGCACAATGGACATGAAGAATTGGCCTAATCCTACATTGCATCATTTGGTAGCAGCCAGGTAGAGCTGAATATTGAATTGGCTCCTGTCCCTTCACCATGTAGTATGCGTGCCTGCATCAAGATCGTAACACGGCTCAGCGGTGCTACAGCAGTCTTGGAGACGCAACCAGCCTTAACTTGGCATGGGTGCAACACACAAGGGAACATGATCAAAAAAGCTGTATGGCTGGGACATACATTGTGCCAGCTGGTTGCTGGTTACTGCTACTGCTTGTTGCTGCCAGCTGACGGTTGCTGTTGTTTTGCTTCTGGGCATTTTTTTGGCAAGAAAGGAGCGGCTGAAGAGAATGCTAACCAATCTGAGGCACCCACAATGCCACCTGCGACAACCTTCTTTACTTCCGGCAATGCATCGATACACCTCGCCACTGCTCAGCAGGCCAAGGCATTTCTAGTTCGCAGCTGGTGCACAGTGCACACAAAGACTATGAAAGCAACAACAACAGAAACAAAGCAACATGGCATTTCAGGTAGTACCAGGTTCAATTCTCAAGACTCAATGGCTTGCCTTTTGATGCCAGGAGTGGGCCAAGAACATTAAGACAGCATTCTGAACAGAACTCAACTAGTCAAGCAGTTGCACGGCCTCCTAATTAGGCCATCTCCATTCATGCCAGGCCTGTCCAGTCTTGGGCAAAGGTGAGCTAAACTAAGCCACATCAGAATCATCAAAACGCCTCTTCACAACTCGTCTTCACATCCAAAAGTACGAGCGCTTCTTCAAGGAAGCTCCCCCGGCCGCCTTTAGGGCGGCGGGGCAGGCTTCCTTTAAGAAGCGTGAGCTACCCTGCGTCCAGTTACTAGAAGCTGTTTGCGTTTTGCTCCCGAAAAAGACTGCTCAACATCCCACCTCAAAGGATCGATCATAGCCTCTCACCTTTCGTAATAGTCCCATGCTCAGGAGCTTCTCCAAACCAATTAGGACAATCTTTCTGCGATCGTTGCCACAATGCTTGGTGGTTTGTTCGTTTGAGTATGCCTCCTCAGGTTCCTGTATGATTGGTGCTGAATGCTATCGGGAGCTTCTTGTCCATAATTGTGTTTGTCCTTACTTCCCAAGTAGAGTGGTCTGGCATAATCTGACACTTGCTGTGTGTGTGCATATCGCTTCATGACACTTAGAGGGACTCTAATCGACTAGAATCTCTTTCACATGTCAATCGAAATGCTGTATCATGATCTGCATGAGGGCTGGGAAATGATGGGCTGTGGAAGCGAGTAGTAAGCATGCTACGCCCAGCATCTCGAAGTTGTATACATTACCGGAAGAACTCAAACACAAAGATACCGTTTGACTGCGTTTCTTTCGTTTCCAGATGGGGTTGATGCTTGGGTTGATAGGGGTGACCTCCAAGATCCAACGGATCTAAATTGTTCTTGCATAGAAGATCATAGAAAGGGCCGCGTTCCAAAAAACACACACATTATGTGCTCCTCGTTTTATCATGTTCTAATCCTCCTTAATAAAAATACTTCTCCAATAGGCATTCCAGGATGAAAGGAACATGCCCGCTGCCCAGGTTGCAAAGTTTGCAATGCCACTCCGGAAAAGGCTTTAGGCATGGCAACTAGGATTTCGTTGCGAGACATCTCTCAGTCTCTCCAGCCGTCGGAGGGCACTGCGACAGCCAGATCATAAATCCAGCCCTCGAGGACACGTGTTGACACGTGTTCCGCAAAGGGCGTATATCTCCGCCGATGATTGATGATTCGTCGAAAAAAAGGCTGTTCTGTTCTATGGCAGGACCCCTGCTGATCGACTTGTGACATTCTACTGTGACATCCACCTCATCTTTGATTTGTGTGTTGAAATCAAAGCATGATGCACTTCAGGCCCATTCATGACAAGAAAAAAACAGTGAACACCAAGAATGCAAATTATGATGCTGCCCTGTTGCAACCAAGGCTCGAGTATGTGAAAGTGACTGCCATGCCTGCCTCAGTGCAGAGCTGCAATCCGCTGTGCAGACCATCTGCAGACCCTTAGACAGGAATGATTCCCTCCAAAATCACAAATGATTCCATCTCCGACGTGTCCCAATGTCTTCCGAGTCTTCAGTGTACTTTAACTTGTACAACTCGAAAGACTCCCTTCTTTGCGTTTGAATGCCGCAACCAATAAACTCAACAAGCCATACCCCGCCTTGGTCCAATCCATGAAGAGCTCGAAGAATTTCTGGCCAACGATTACTGCAAATACCCACTGGCTGACAACTGACAACTCAAACGGCTTTTGTGGGAGCAGCTCGTCTTGCAGACAGGGAGAGCAGGTTGACTATATTAAGACTCATCTTCCGGCTGGCTTTAAAATCACCAAGCTGACCTATGAGCGACTTCATTGACAAGCCTCGAGACCAATGCCCAGGGCAATTGCAATGGCAGAGCCCAACAACAGGCCGCCATTGGTGCTCCTTAAGACGTGTCATGTCTTAAGTGGTTCAAAACCTGAAGGGTTGACAAACGCATTTTGTCTCATCAATCTCTTGAATGCATTGGCCTACAATCGCCCTATCTCCCCTGCAGGGTATGGTTAGCGCGTAAGAGTCTCAAAGCCTTTAGAGTGCTTTGTTCTTCGTAACTGGGGCGAGGCACCAGCGATCGATAAACTGTAGGAAAGGATCATCCTCCTGCCCGTATAACAGCCCTGAATTGTTTGAGAAAGTATGATTTGCAACGACTGAGCAAACCCCTAGCTTCCTACAATTCCTACAAAAAGCTGCCATCTTTGGCAAAATCAAGTTCTGAAAAATGGACAAGAAAACACATGCAAAAAGATCTCAATGTAGTGATATGTCATCAAGTCCACACGCTGACATCACCTTTTTGCAAGCTCAGGCTGCGCATGCTCATACAATTTTTTCGACACTATTCCTCCACTTGTCAGCTTGGCTTGGCTTGGTTTGTCAAGACTTAGATAGACGCTCTCTGAGCAGGTTCAATTCATGCGATGGAAAATATCCACTCTCAGTTGCTGTTGCTGCCTAAGGCGGGGAAGTCGCTGCAACGGCATCAATTGACAGTGTAATCTCACCAAGTTCTCAGTTGGATGTTACATGGTTGACTTCTTTTCATGTGATATTACAGATCTGATCTGTGTTCTTCTAGACGTCAATATATGCTCGCATGTACCTTTGACTCAAGCTGCCCTCATTCGATGGTGGTGGGTTCTCATGTTTCATCTTGCTATGATTCCGGCCTTTGATTTTCTAGCAAATCCACTTTGCAACCTCGTTCCAGCGGTGGCACTTTACTCGCTTCCGCACTCATCTGAGATAACTGGGAACGCCCCAGAGCAGGCAACCCAATGGCTGCCTGACTGGGACACAACCATTGATTCCATTGATAAGTTTAAGCACCTCTGCTTTGCAGATGCATGGTTAAAGCAAGGGAGCCTGCAGGCAGATACTTCTCGTGACAGCTTTGCATCAGACAAGCACACGTTTCACAGCTTGACTGGAGTGTTCTGTCTTGCACCCGCCCAGGCTTCTTTGCCCAGCTCGAAACCCGCCGCAGGGTCAAGGTGATACAAGACTTGGCTAGTCTGCAAAGCCTGCTTGCCAGAAGTGTGGGCACATTGTATCTGTTCTAAAGGCATTTCTTTGGGCAACGCAATCAAATGGGATAAAGCACAAGCAGGATTGCAGGAAGCCAAATCACCAACGAGTCATCCAGCTCGTCAAGTGTGGGAAATGTGAGGGCACACTACTCCCAAACCCATACAAGCACCGTGATGTTTCCTCTGCACATCAACGAGTGGCACAGGACTAGGCAACATCTGAGACCTGCACAAACAGTTGGAAAAAAAGCAACCTCTCCTGACAAGAACGGTCCCCTTGGGTCCTGGACTTAAATACCCTTACAGTATCAAGAAGAACGACTGAATTGTGCTTTGCTTTTTGAAATGTTGATGTTTTTAAACCGCTGGAACTTCTTTCGTTCCGTTCTTTTGTTTCTTTCCTCTAATTATTTCGTTTCGCCTTGGGTCTTGGACTGATCATGACGTAACTACTAGACTTCTCCAACTACTAGCGATGGCCTCCAACCTAATAGGAATGGCCTCCACCGTTCTCTCTTTTCAGCACGGACATTGCCACACACTCGCCGATGCGGTGTTAGAGCCAAGACGTTATCACTTCGGCGGATTCTTTGCCTGCGTAGCCTTCAAGGGGCGGACGGGTGGCAGTCTGAGTCATAGCAACTTGAGTATCACTCACCCTCCCCTCAGTCTTCTTTCAACTTGGTTTTCTTGTGACTTGGTCTTCAGTATGTTTGTTTCTACTTTCTACTCTTTGACTTGGTCTTTTTACTCGTCGTCGCCAAAACCATTTCCACTCAATTGATGTTCTTTCATCGCTCGACCCAACCTTCGCCGGTGGTGGCTCGACTACAGGGTCATCCTGGCAAAACTCAGGAGCGAGACCCTTTGCATACTGGAATAGCAGGAGATAGGATGGATAGTTATGTAAAAATATGTATATATAATTAGATATTAGTGTTTATAAAATACTTTCATATGGCAAGGCCAGGATCCCTTGATTTAAAAAACAAAAACAAAAAGTCAAATGGAAAAGTCAAAGTCGAAAAATGCAGCAATTGAAAAGTCAATAAACAGAAGTTAAACAATAAAAACGTCGGAAACATGTCAAAAATGGTCAAAACTAAAAAACAACTCGAACAAGTCAAAAAAGAAGTCAGCAAAATGTTGGAAACATGTCAAACAAATACAACATTTGAAAACACATCGAGAAGTCAATAAATGTCAAATAAAAGTCAAAACAAATCAAAAAGTAGGAAAACACGTCTAAAAAGTCAAATAACAGTCAAAAAAATAAATCGGATCAGGGCCAACTGACTTCTTTTCACTTGTTGAGACTGTCTGATTTGACTTTTGGCACCGACTACTATGTTGACGCTTTTTTACCCTTTTTGAGTTTTGAAAACAGGCTCTCTCCAATGAGAGTATTTTGTAATATTATGTAGTTGCACATGGTTGTTGCCATGGGATAACCTCATAAGGTGATGTGAGCACCAATCCTGGGCAAGCGCTGTGTTCCGCAGAATCAAGGCGGCCTAAGGGTGAATATTCTCTACATGGAATCAACTGGGGACACCGCTAGCTGCAAAAACGGATGTTTACAAATCCGACCAGGTCTCAATTAATTGACTTCATAAACTTCTGTAGAATCCGTCCTTGTTCCACAAGCACATGCTACGGTCGTGCTCCCCACATCACTAAACACCGCAAGAAAGGTTGCATTCCATGTCCTCGAAGTCCCCTTCTTCTTCCTCTTCCTCTTCCCAATAGGATTCCATATCATCCTGCAGAAATCGGGAAGGAAGAATCAAACAAACAAATAATTTGGAAGATATGATATGGTATGATTCAATCAACTTTAATGAGATCTGCAAGCAAACGGCTGAATAAGATTGAAACCAAGTCCAAATGGCTTTGCTGAGTCAAAATCATTGGTTATGAGGGAAGTGCAGCAGCCTCCTCGTCCACATTTCCCATGGTGGTGGCCGCCACGACGGTAGCAACTGCAGCCCCTGCACCGGAATCTGTGCGGCAAGATGACGTTTCGGAATTGCCATGGTGCCTTAACTTTCTTGTAAAAAGTCAATTTCCTTCCAACAACGATCTATGACTTCCCAGTCGCGCCGGTTGAGAATTTCAGGATGCAGTCGGCATATTTCTGAATTCTCCCCCGCATGTCACCTCCATATTACTGGTTCCAGGCGAATCGGTGGGTGGTCTGGAAACAAATGTCGATCAACACAAGTCGGTGAGCCACGACCATCTCACCTCCAACGGCCGCAGTCGCCTGAAAAAGACACTGCCGGAGTAGGGCAGTCACTCAGTCGTGTATCAATGTGCAATTCGTGGCTCACAATGCTTGCAGTTTTGTCATGTTTTGTCGACCAAATCATTTTTAGAGTTACACCGTCACGTGCATCAGCCATTCGACCTCAATGTGCGCACATGCATGCTTTTCTGAGCACTTGTGCTCTCATCCATATTCCATCAGAGCAACGAAAGCTCTGTGTGCAAACACCAAACATCAAAAGCACTTTCAGCTCGATGCTACCTGCACTCCAGGCTTCGCTGAGGTAGATTGCTGGTAGCCTGGTAGGACAATGTCAACATCTAAGCAGAGGGGTCCTCTTCACCTATAAAAGCATGTACTGTAATTACATGAGTCTGGCATGAAGTCTGCCAGCAAGTTTGTGCCAGGCAACACGGGATTGGTGGATGTATTTGGCTTGGAGAAGTCACGGCAGGTATTGGGAAGTCTTCGGAAGTAACATTTGAAGTACCAATGCTTCAGATTTGAGTTGTAAACCAACAGTTTTGTTGGAAGTTGCTGGTGTTGATCCAAACCTTGAATACAGCTACACTACAAGCATCTGATCCTGTTAAAACCAAACCACTATGCAAGCAGCTGCTAGTCAGTTTGGTCGCATGTGTGTAAGCTACAGAAGAGAACTGCATACTGATAGAGCAGGAAGTTGTACAGCCAGCAATGGGAACTACTGTAGATTGTACACGAAGGATCACGAAGGCACATGTGTCATCCCCCACTTTCTTTCTCCTTGGTTCGCACTATATAAAGGCTCTAGACTGTGCCCTCCCATCATCCTTCCTCTGGTAATTCCTTCTCAATAAAGGTGCAAATTGCCATTGGCTTGAAGCGGGAGGGAGGGAGGGAGGGAGGGAGGGGGGGAACAGGCTCTTTTGGCAAAACTGTTTACAATAAACTCCACCCAGTCCGTCCCTGAATCCAAATGCTTCCCATCTAGCCCAGATGCCTGGCTTCTGCAAGGTGCTGTTGCTACCCGGTGCTGCCTTGCCATTCTGCATGGACTTTCCTGCCGATAGAATCAAGGAATCATCAAGTGATCCCACGAAAAGGTGAGCCCTGTGACGCATCACAATTTGTCATACGTATGGAAAAAAACACAAAAGCATGTCAAAAGAGCCAAAAGAATGCACTGCACAAAGAAAGGCAAAAAAAAGATAGAAAAAGAAACTCTGCTTTGGCGCCTGTGTCCGTAGCGGTGGGAACAGAACGAGGTTGTCCTCACATGGGCCCAACCCTTGAAATAAAATGCGTGCCGGAATGTGCCATCATATTCATGGGCTACAGCATGCTACAGCTACATTACTTTTCTGCCACAGATCCCTCATAACTTCTGATTTGAACCTTTGGTTCTAGGGTTTGCTCGTGCTAAGCTAGAGTCTGGCGGCACACGGCTGGTGAAACATACTTGCAAAAAGAAAGCTGCCAGCCTTTGCCACCGCTGCCATCATTTATGCAAATCTTCGTCCATTGTTGCGAAGTCTTTTCCTCAAGAGGAAAACTTGCACATTGCAAAGCACACTACTTTGTACCCTTTTGAAAGATTCAGGACGAGAATTGAGAATTTTCCATTCGAAAGGTTGTGGGAGTTGACTATTTCCCGATTCATGCAAGACCAGCTCAAGTTCAATAGAATTTGCTCTTGTGTTGCGGCACTGGAGTTCTGGTGTCCTCAGGATAAGCTTTCCGAAGGTTTAGACAAACCATTTCCAAGTGAGTCGATTGCCCAAGGCACTGCGGGTCGGCCAGCGTAGGTTGCATTGTGCTGC